GCTTTCCGCGCGTCTGGAGAACTGAATTTCCCCGGGTCCCCCGAGTATCGGGACAAGAATTACTACTTTCGGATTCATGCATCTCGTATGCGTGCTCGGCATGGATTCTGGACGTTCCGTCGCCGGGAGCCTCGCGTTCTGCGAAAATCCGTTATCGCGGAGTTTCCCTTTTGCCCGCCGGTCGGGCCCCGGCGAAACGCGGCTCCTTTGTCGCGGTCCGAGGAATTCCCTTGTCGCCTCGGCCAATTGCTGGGTCGCCGGGAAAAGATCGAAGGAACTACGCGGAGAGACCCTCGGACCGTGTTCCGCGAGTGTAATCTCCGTTCGCCGTCCTCGAGGCGCAACCCCCGCGCCCGACCGCGGAGCCGTCCAGCGGATTTCTGAATTTCGACCGGCGTGTCGCGGCTGCTTATGAAAATTCACGAGGCGAGGGTCGAGAAGCGCGATATAGGATAACAATGTGTCTTGCGTAACCAGAATAGCTGGGTCTCCGGGGCAACCGGCGCGCAGAGTGGCCGGGTCGAAGCCGAGACACGGGCAAGAAGGCGAATCTCCGTACGCTCGGCTCGGGAGATTCAGCGGAAAGTTCATTAAGCGATTTTTACCGAACTTTCCCGCTGATTGCGGTTTCTTTCGGCTCGCCGTTGGCCCTCGGGAAGTTCGCCTCGCCGCGTTTCGACGCTTCAGCCGGCGGTCGTTACGTAAAGTTCGCTCCTCGGCGAATGCCCTGTAATTGCGCGTAAATCATCGCCGCGCCCCCGGTTCCTTAAACAGCCGAATACGGATTTGTACGGTGCAGGGGAGGGGGGATGGGTTCAGCGCAACAAAGCTGCAATTAAACCGTGCGATTCAACTCCGAGCGAAGAATTTCCATCAAGCCGTCTCCCTTTTCAGCTCCCCGAGATCGCTCCGATCGCGATAAACTGCTAGATTGCGCGTTCGATCAAGCCTCGCGAAATCCTGCGAACGATTATAGAGTTTCGTGACAAATTTCGTCGGCGACGGACAGGCTGAAGGGCCTGTGCGGCGCGGCAACTCCGCGGCAACTTCCATAGATCGCTTCCGCGTAATGAAACTGCGCGACTCGAAATGCCGGGACACCGATTACCCGTTGATTGTCCGTCTCCCGAGACGGTTCAAGATTGGATCCGCGTCTACTGCGAATTAACGTTCGAGATAATGAAAACGGATGGCACGGTCGCGGAGCGGAGACGCCGGGTCGCGGCGAGTTCAGCGGCGATCCCCCCATTCTTCCGCGGCGAACCGACCCACTCTCATTGTACGCGGACGGAACAGGAAGCCCCGCGATTCGCGACTCGCGTTTAACTCCATCGATTGCATTTATTAGAACTAATGGGAGAGACGGAGGGTCGCAGCAGCCTTAAAAGCTCGCTCGGTCTCTCCTCATTTGTTTGTCCGCCCCGTCGATGTAATCGTTTTATCATTATCGGAGAGCGATCGGGGAAAGGATGAGATCGATCACGCGGCCCGGGGGGTGGGGCGGCGGCGAGAAGACGGGTAGCTTCGCAGGAAGCGATTCGAATGCGAGCATAACCCCGTGGAAAATTGAAATCGAGTGCGAGCCGCGCCGCGCCGCGTCGGTTGGCTAGGAGAAAAGCGATATCTTCTGGCGACAGCCGCCGAGACAAAAGAAGTACGGCGGATTCTTGAAACTGTCGCTGAACCGGAGATTATACGGCCCGGGAGAAGTCTTTTTAAGTCTGCGCGCGATATCAGAAGCGTCCTGACCTTCATAACTACTCCTTTATGAAAGTTGGCTCGCGACGCACCGTAAACTCGGGGTATTTCCTTTAAAAGGATAAACGGGACAACGAATAACGACGGAGGTACTCCCGTTGTTTCTCGTGCCCGGTCGTACCGAACTTCTCGAGCTTGATATCGGTCGGTCTCGTTCCTCGATAACCCGAGGCTGCCGTTACATTATTCGCTGCTTCTGCCCGGGCAGCTTGTATCGTACATCGGTGTCCGCGGCGGAGCCATCGAATATCGGTCAGCGGGAACTCGTCGAAATTAGTCGCGGAAAAGTTCTCGCCGATGGTATTCGGCGTTCGCCGCGGGCGGAAAGGGGACGCGAAAGGGCGCGAATTACCGTAAAGCGGAGCAACATCGCCTCGGACGCCGCATTTTTCTTGAGTGCAGCGGGAAGCCGTAATCGAAGTCGACGGTCGTCCAGGGCAGCTTCTTGGATAACGTCTCCCCAGCGATTCCTCGGCCGCTCGAACCAATTTATTTCTGTTGCCTCGATTCCCCGGCAGACGCGTCACTTCTCAAAGGATCATTCCTGGGAGCGATACCCGACGCACAGGGTCCTCTCGGACACCTACGTTGTTTGCTCTCGTCCCGTCGACTTTTTTCGCCGGGGCTGCGCTCCCGTAACCGATACTCGTATCGACATGTGTCGTCAGAATCCCGCTCCCCGCATCGCTCTAAAAACTATTTGTACTTTTTCCGAGCGAACGTCCATTACACGGACCCCCGAATGATTGTCTTTGGGCGGCCGCGTCGCCTCTTCACGTCCAGCCGCGTGGATCCGACCGCTGTCCGCGCGGTCTTCACGCGTCCTTCGACGTCGCACCCCGCACGAGCGTTACCTCACGATCGCATCCGAAAGTTTCGAGGATCGAGGATCGACCGCGGGCACCGCGCGATCCCATCATTCGCCTTTTCCCGCTGGAATACCGCTCGCTGTCCGCATCTTTCATCGACGATCCATTGCTCGTCGAACCGATTGAAACCCCTCCGCAACAACCAGTTGCAAAACTGTCTCGCAGGTTTTCGCAGGAACGTCGAGGAATCTCGTCGAATTTCGCTGGAGTCCTCCGGATCTTTTCGATCAGGGGTTTCGTGGAGGAGATTCGCTGGTTGCCGCGTCGTGTCGGTTGTATTTTCAGGATTGCGACGCGTCCGTGATGGCAATCGCCGTGGAGAGCGTCGGGTGGCGTCGCGTCGGAGCAACCGCGTCGCGTGCTGGCGGTCCGCGCACTGTTGGCTCCGTGAAATTCTGCTAGCCCCGTCTTCCACAGGAGTTCTCGCGACAACCAGACTCGGGAATGCGCAGTCGCTCGTCGCTCTTGCATTTTCCCTCGAGAACGTGGACACCTCTCGTGTGTTCCCTCGATGATCCCTCTTCCCGTATCGTTCGGCGCTTTCGAATACCCTTTCGGTTCGACTGGACCGAAGCCTGGGCACTTCAATTTCGAGAGACGAATCGAAGAGGCGGTGGGGCACGATTGCGGTGACGCGGCGACCCTTGTCGGGAACAAAAGATCAGGAGGACGCGACCGGAACGAAAGCGAGGAAAGCGGCGGAGCTACCCTGGCGGGACACCTACCGATTTCTTTTATTTTCGATCCTTTTCACGCGTCCCCGTGCTTCTTTGCCACGTTTCCCGGGCGAAGCTGGTTTAGAGCGCCTCAAAGGGACAGTTTTCGATCGTTCGGGAAGCATCAGCGCGCAATCTCGCGCGGAAAAAGCTCGATTCGGCGAACGGGTTCGATGGAGACCGATACGCAGAAACAAGTTCGCCGGATTCCGGTCTCGCTAACAAATTCGAACGGCGACGGCGCGGCAGTTGCTCGGCTCGGTTTCGCTGGATCGTTCTCTTTGCGCGTTAACGGAACGACATAGGCGTCTACTTCGTTAACGAATCGTCGGACAAATTGCGAGCCTGGGAACTTCCGCAATATCCGTTCGGTGGCGTTTTCGGTTCACCCGTATCGATGCGTATTTATATGCAAATGAACGGACATCGATGGCTTCGGGGGAAAGTAGATCGAATAAATTACGTTATTCTGCACTGGGAACACAATTTCCGCGCGTCTTGCCCGCGGACAAGCTTGGAAATGTTCGCGACTGTGACGGTCAAGCACGTAAGTATATTATCAGTCGACTGCCGGCCGCTTAATGCTCGCTAATAACGTTACAAATTTCAATCGGTCGCCCGTTTTACGGGCGGGCCGAAATAATTTCATCGGCGCGGCGGACGGGCCGATGGCGGAATTTTAATTTGAAATTACAGTTCCGCGCCGCCGGCCGGGCCGTGATATTTTACGCTGGCCGTTCGGTCAACGGGCGAAAATAATCTGCGGACGGAACATTCCCGGAAACTGCTCCAAGTTTCTCCGAACAATCGAGCCCGCCGCGTCCCGGCCGCGCGCCGCGATTTCGAAAGCGCAGTAAATTTTCAATCGCCCGTTAATTATCGGTAACACCTGTTCGGGTTCGCCGTTCAGCCGGCCGCCCGATAAATCTGAGGGCTCGGACTGCTGTTGCGGAACGCTCGAGTCCTCGAGGCTCTCGACCTTAACGGCTGAATCTTGGAGGCTTAAAGTTCTGCAAAACTCGAGCATTCGGAGCGCTAAGACCGAAGCTTAAAGAGCGTCGAAGGCTTCAGCTTTTACAGCTGAAGGCTCGACCCTTCAAAGCTTGAGTCCTCTAAGCTACAGATTCCAGTCGTGAAGCTCGGACCTCATTCTTGCAACACTATTGATTGATATGCGATCGTCACGGATTTCGGACGATTGTTCGAGCATTCGAAGCTCTGAGATCGGTGCTTGAAGAGCGTCGGAGTCGTCAACTTTTACAGCTGAAGGCTCGAGCCTACAGAACTCGAGTCCTCTAAGCTACAGCTTCTAGACGCAAGGCTAGAGATTCTTTGTTACATTAGTACTACTGACCGATATGCGGTCGTCACGGATTTCCGAGGATTGTTCGAGCATTCGAGGCTCTGAGATCGAAGCTTGAAGAGCGTCGAAGTCGTCAACTTTTACAGCTGAAGGCTCGAGCGTCCACAGCTCGAGTCCTCTAAGCTACAGCTTCCACACGCAAGGCTGGAGATTCTTTATTACAACACTACTACTGACCGATATGAGATCATCACGGATTTCGAACGATTGCTTTGCGCATCGTGGCCCGCACTCTCCTCGCTGTAATCCGAGCGGGATCTCGTCGGATTTCGTTAATGCACGCTGTCCAAGAAGCTGAAACCCGAGCGAGCCGCGTCCTCTTTAGACTAATCCTCTGCGATTCGATCTCCAGCCGCGCGCATTCTCCAGACACGGTAAGACAGTGACCTTACTTCATAGTCGTCCAGCGTGTTCCTCCGTTTCCCATGGCAGCGCGGTATCATTTCTGGGGATTTTCCAGGGGTTACCGGAAGTACAAAGCGGCCGGCGGAGTCAGAGGACGATGGTCTTTGTGTCGGAGACTGGCCACTGGCTCGGCGCAGTTCCAATTTGCTTTGCCAGCTCGCACGCGTCATCTATCCAAGAGAGAGGCCGTCGATCAGTTGCTTAATTAGATTACCTGGACGTCGCCGGTGATAGCTATCAATACAAAATGACGAAACGGCCGCGGAATTTGCGCGTGGCCGACTAAATTGCGAATGCGTCCACTGATGGATCGTATTGGATCGAAGATCGGTAACTCGAGAAGAATCGCTGCGTGCGAGCGTGCATTGTTCCGAGGGAAAGTGTCTCGCTCGGTGGGATGTTTGAAATTTCAGTGGGACGACGGTATTGTACGAGAGTGCGCGCCGTGAATGATAAAAATTCTACAAAGATCCGTCGCAGAGCAGCCGGTCGAGTTTATTAAATGTCGTCGAGTGTCCGCGATGTGATCCACCGGTGGCTCGACTGTATTACCGGGGGCGTTGCAAAGGGAACGCAGCTGTCATTTTTCTTTGTCGCGGCCAGGCCGCGAAGACGTTGCCTCGAGTAGGCGAATCAATTTCTGCTCGTAACAAGTTTTCCCCGCGATTGTCTCGGAAGAGAAGTAACGGCACCTGCAGCTGGGATAGATTAATATTTAACGCCTTGGTTTGTTGCCACTTGATTACCAACTGCAACGCAAAGGGCAGCCGGAAAAGCGAGGGGAAGAAAGCCAAGAAATTGTAGCGCGAGCGGAAAGTAAGAAACGGGGAAGCGCAGCGTTTAAATAGGTCTTACGTCCGTAATGTTTGTACTTATTGTCTGTAACATACTATCAACATTTTGTCTGACATGATTTTAAATGAATTATAGTTCACTGAAATAGCCTTGTATCATTGAGACATTAACACGTTCAGCGTCATGAAAGTCCGTTTCTCCGTAGAGCTATTCTTTCATAGCAAAGAAAAGAAGGAACAATTATTATTTGGCTTTATAATTCTTGCGTTACATTATTATCAACTTACTCACGTTATTAATCCTTAGGATTCCAGATGGTTTTATAATTTATCAGCAACTGCAACTAATTTTTATAGTATCTAAGCTATAACATTTCTTAGATCTTTTATTTTCCTTAATGCAAAATTTGGATATGTGAAAAATGTAACAGTAGGGTAGTTCTTTTGAGGTTCATTAAAATATTTAATATTATTCCTGGTGCAGTATTGTAGCCTACAGAGTTCAAAGGGTTAAACATCATTCGACATCGGTTATCTTGCAAGTCACGATTATTAACCTTTAAATGCTTGATGTATCTAAATTCGGTAAATTTGATTGTAAACGTTCTCACATCATCACAACCATAGAATCTATTTAACAATGACGTCGACCGCTGTTATCAAATTGTGTTATCACAAAATAAAACTAAAGACTAACATTCAAATGGACGCAGGAGAGAATAATTCGTGATAGAAAGAATTAACCAGTTAACTGTGCTTGACGAGTACACACGTCATTGTAAAGCTTGACACGATACTAACTCTTTCATGATTTTTTTATTTTTTCACATGTAATTCTTCTTTGTTTCGCTTTGACCTTTCATTAAATATACTCTACGTTCATTCGTCCTGCGCTCGACGAGTACACGCTCCATTTTTCGATTTTATTGCGAGAACGACAGGTTTCTCCAACTAAATTCCACAGTTAACACATTGAACGCCAGCTAAATTTCAGCTACTAAAAACGCGAGCGTTGGCGATTATATCGATACATTTTTAAACATCGATTAAACCAAAATTTCAAACTCACGGAAGAGAATAAGGAATTCGATTTTGTAAATTTTACTTTGAATTTGTGTTATACATATCTAAAACGTACATGAACGTAGGATTAGCGATTAAACGATAGACTAAAAATCACGCATTATCGCGGGCCCACTGACATGTTAACACCTAACCGAACGCGTTGATACCTTAACCCTTTCACGACGGGTGCCGCGTATATACGGCAGCCACTTTTTGGTCCACAGAGGCTGACGCCGCTTATATACGGCAGTCATTTATTACTTTACAGCGGCTGACGCCGTCTAGATACGGCAGTCACTTATTGGTTCTTTTATATTATTATTTTATTTCAATAGCGAACTCAAAATAAAGCTATAAATACATCGGTGGCGAATGGTTCACTCGCGCTTTCGCGAACGACGACAAAGTATAGTCAGTCTCGCCGTCGCGAAAAGTGGCAAAGTACGGTCAGTCGCACTGCTGCGAAAAGTAGCGAAGAACGGTACAGGTGCGTCGTCGCGAAAGGGTTAACAAGTAACAAGAAACGTTCAAGTCGAAGGTAAAACGCCGAAGAACAAGGTGTAAGCGAAGGAAAGCCTCGGCGTATCGAATGGCGCATTAACGGGGGGGAATGGCGCTAACGGGCGTAGCGTCGGGGAAGTCGGAAAAGTTCAATTGGAAACGCCGCGAATTTCAATCGTTTCGCACGTGAGGCGGAAAGTTTCGAGGTTCCCTCTGCATCGGAAGCGCCGTCAGGGACTCCGTTCTTTCCCGCAGCTTTCTTTGAGCATCACGCCTCGCGGGTTATTACACCGACACCCGGGGGAGCAGCTAGCCGGCGTGTACAAAAGCCTGATCAGAAAGTTTCGGTGGTATTAACGGTCTTTGACGACGGTGAATGAATCATGA